TCGGGAAAGGAAACGCATATAGTGCAAGTAATACCTAATGCTCCTATAACTCTACCATCTCTTCGCCTAACGATGACTTCCCTATCAATGCCACCAACACCAGCGTTGAGTAGCACGTTCTTCACTGATGGTGAGGACACTGCAGTATGGACAGGGGCCATCACCCAAATCTCATTTGCGACTCTAGAGAAAAAGCGCAGCGCACTAATTGCACAGTAGTGGATGACTGCAACTGCGCCCCGGCCGAGTCCACTGTTTCATGTCACTGCATGTCAGCACATATTACTAGAGAATTCGATCAGCTTCAACATAAACTCCCCAAAAAGACACCCTATTGGGAACTTCGTTACCAGAACACATCCCTGGTTGCAAAAATACCCCAAATGGTTTCATCCGAATTCATAGTGGAATTCCATAAGACCTGGGACACAGCAATCGTCCAGGTGAGAGAGGACAAATGTGCAGTGGAAAATACCCCTTTACAGGGATGCTATCACTGTGCAGGGGGAGCCCTCGCCAAAGTAAGATGCACCTCAGCTACAGAAATTTTTGGCGAGGTATTGTGTACTGAACATGCGTTCGTAATCCCGTGCGCGCCACACGGTCCAGAGTCAGAACTGCGCTTCCACCTTGACTCTGCCAGACAAATTCTGAACTGCACGATATCCTGTGGACGTTTTGAGAACGGGTTCTTAATTACTGGAGTACTGAAATATGTGAACACGTTCCACTACCCGGGTATGGCAACACTGGATGTAAACAACACCGTTTTCAACGAGTTCCAGTGGCCCGATTTTGGCCACATCATCGATACCATCCTTACGTGGTACAAGACCTTGCTCATTGCAGTGGTAGCGGTCGCACTGGCAGTTGCACTGACTTACTTATATGTGAGCACATGCGGTATGCGCACAGCGCAAGTACTCCTGAGACTCCTGTGGGCGGTCATTTGCCTCCCACCCCGCCTTGCCCTTGCAGTTGTCAGCACCACTATAAAATTCTGTTGTCAAGTTACGAGTGCACGAGAAGAAGACAGCTTAGCCGCTAATAATCGATTATTTCAAGCGTAGATACAGGTTTAGGAAATATTAACTAGTTACTAGAATTTAATATTTTTGGCTATTTTCAAAAGGAAAAAATCAACCGCCTTAGCAGTATCTTACCAAAAAAACTAGCAATAGAATTGCGCAACATGATACTAACAATTTTTAGATATGGAAGACATCCGACGAGATCTGAATGAAGTAAGGGAAGCAGTACAGGCAATGCACAATGCAATTGACGAATTGAGTGCACTCGTGAGACAGAATCCCGAGCAACGACAGGCTGGAGAAGCCCCTGCACAGCAAGAAGAGCGCCAAATCATCGCTGAGAATGCACCATTCATGGAAGAGGTAGAGGATGCCGGTGACGATGTCGGCGACGAAACTAGCGATGACGATAGCGATGACTCCGATAGCAGCGATTCCAATGACGGCAACAATGACGAGCAGCAAGCACAACCTGAGGACCCCCGCAACATTGAGGAGCCGAGGGCTAACCAGAGAAACGCACGGGCGGAAGACCGTCAACCTGTGAACCAAGCGCACAATGTGCGCACTAGGCGGCAAGTTCTGTTGGAACTCCGCCGACTGCGGCGACAGCAGGTTGTCTCTTCGTACACCATCCAGGATTTGATGAGGCAGCCCTTTTGTCAGAGGCGTTTGGTCGAGCGAGGAGTCATTACCAGACAACGTGATAGACACATGAGATGCGCCTTTTGTGATGCAGTCGGAGAACACTACTCAGATTCCTGTCCAATCGTGCGAACATCTCCAGAAAGGCGTATGCTGCTACTACGTGAGGGGAAAGGTGCGAACAGTGCCTGGAG